CCTGATTGTAATGCACCACAGCACATGCATTTTGGTGTGTTGAAGCACATTGTACCTGCTATGTTAGGCCGCATTTCAAAAATGAATAGACTGTAACACATTTCAAAGCTAAAACATTTACCACCTGCTGAGTTTTATTCCTAAAAAGCACATTGTGTGTTGTAGTGGTCTGTGTCACAATGTAGGTGCATTCTGGAGGTGTGTTAGGGTACCATTTAAAATAAATAATGCCAAAATAGACCAATGTGTGTGTGATGCTTTGCCGCATTTAGCAGTATTGTGCAGATTATCGCAATGGATTTGTGTGAATGAGCCCTTAGAGCTTTTGGATAAGATCCTTACCATTAAAGAACCATTACCCATAAATAACAGTAAAACAATAAGAAATGATAATATTTGAATAGAGGGTTTCAGCTGATTGGGATAAAAGGTGGACACCTTCTGGGAGGGTCTGCTGATGCTATTTTGGAGAATGATACTATTTTGGAGAAGGTTATAAAATTATAGAAAACCTCTTTAAAATCATAAAAACAATTTGGCTAATATTTATTAATACGTGATTCGTATATACTATTATATACTCTTTTATGCACCAATGAGGGAATCAATGCAGTGAGTGCTTTCAGTTCTGAAATTTATTACCATCTACAATAATTAAAAAATACAAGGAAGGGGACATTCACAAAATCCTTCAGAACATTAACCATGTTCTAGACACTTGACCCATATGTTATTTTGTTTCCATGCTACTCTATCACTTCACCAAAAGATTTCTAACTAGTTGAGAAGGATACATGCTATATACAACCACATTGTAAGATTTCAAAAGACACCTCCTTTAGAAACAATAGTATGGGTCACGGCATGAACATTTTGTGAAGGGCACAATAATGCATTTTCAAGAAAGTTGCATGTCCTTTCAAGCTTTAATCTGTCAGTTTGTTTAGTCCCTGGCCTTGGGAGTACATTTGGAAGGATTATATAGTGGGTGTGCACAGTGCCCCAGCACAGGCACATCTCACTACATCAGTGTAGGTATAGCTCTTGTAAGATCCATCTGAGCACAATAGCTGCACAGTCTTCTGCTGCACTTCCATTTCTGTACAGCAGGAACATTGATGACTTATTGCTTGCAGTCCCATGGAGTAGCTGGAAAACAACAAAAATACATTAGAATACAATTATACACCTTTAGAAGACCACATTCTTAAATGCTGAGTATTGACTGGCTAGGAGATATGTAGTTACCATCCCTCAACCTACCTCAGTGCTAAATACATTCTTCACAGCAGCTGGGTATATTTTGACAAACAATAAGCTCCAGGGTCTGAGCTTTAAAGGAGAACTATGAGGTGAGTGCTTTTCACTCACCTCATAGTTCTAGCCGACCTGTGACAATGAGACTGTCACAGGTTGGCTCAGTAGATCGCGAGGTGAGCGAACACATACTGAACACATACCGGCGTTCGCTCACCTCTCGATCCTGTCACGGCTCTCTGCCGTGACAGGGGAGGGGCTGGATTCCCCCCTCCCCGCTCCGATCCGCTAGTGCTGACTGGCGGAACGGACGGGGGAGGGGGCGGGTACAGCTGGCTCTGCCTCTAGATAGGCAGAGCCAGCTGTCAGTCACGCAGCTGGGCGGATCTCGGCACAATTGTCGGGATCCGCTTCAGCTGCGGCGTCTCAGTATACCGCGAGCAGCAGCTCGCGGTATACTGAGCCTAGGGTGACGGGAGGACGCTAGTTTGTGTCCTCCCGTTACCCTAAGGAGAACTATGGGGAAAAGCCTTAACCCCATAGTTCTCCTTTAAGCCAAATAAATATATTTTTAAAGAGTATATCTTAGTATAACAAGGATCAGTTACAATTCCATGTGTTGTGGTATTCCTCAGTGTTCAGTGTTCAGTTTCAGTACCTTCCTCAGTGTTCAGTTTTATTCTGCCCATACAAGCCAACGGCATAGGATGTTATTGGCTTGATGATCAGGTTAACTAACTAACTTCTTACTGTGTACTGTGTCCTATAAGTTCCTTGACTTATTAAGTCTAATAAGCTTGTATATGATGATGATGATAATTGAGCTCAGGTGTCTCTCATTGAGCAGGTGTATTATAAACTAGTGCATCACTCATTTTGAGCTTGCTCACACAGGGCTTGGCGAACAAATTGCCTGGGAGCTAAGTGGCGTAAAAAATTGGGATTTGAACTGTTTGGGATATATTGAGTGCTTGATTTTTTGAATACTTGTTGTCTCCCTTCCTTTTTAGACCCTTTTTTAGTATTTAAAAACTCTTTTTCCTTTTCTGTCAGTTTTTTTAAACTGTTC